TGACCTGAAAATAAAGATTTATACAATTGAAATAAATAGTCAAGGCATCTAAAAAGTTATAAAAAATACATAGTTGAAATAAATAGTCATTGCATCAAAAGAAGAAATAAAAAGAGTGTACAATTGCAAGAAATTACAAGTGCAATTGTACACTCTTTTTATTTCTTCTTTTGATGCAATGACTATTTATTTCAACTATGTATTTTTTATAACTTTTTAGATGCCTTGACTATTTATTTCAATTGTATAAATCTTTATTTTCAGGTCAAATTCGAAAAAGATTGAAAGAATTACAAGAAAATACACCTGACATCACACCATAATAAAAAATAGCCCATATTTTAAAGTTTTACCCTACCTAGCCCATATTGTACATATTTTGAAAGCACTAGCAAATTCAAAATTTATGGAGTTAAATTTGTGTTCTTACAACTATTGCATTCACTCTCTTTTCTTCTCACATCTTCTACATATGCTTCAAGGGTCCATCCGCTATTACTGCTTCTCCCCCCGTGTTATCTAGTTGCAACGTAAGAAAATTGAAGAATAGAAGTTCACCATTGAAGGCTATTCAAAGCTTTGCTCTCGAAAATAGGATTTCTTGAGTTTGTTAGTTGTTTTGATTGGATGTTGTTCCAATTGATTGAAAATATCAAAAGGAGTTCAAAATTTCAATTTGAAGTGATTTTGAGTAGATTTGAACAGGATTTGAGTTAAATTTCAGAGAAGACGCAAGGAAGAAAGCGCAGTCAGTTTTTGTATAATTATGTATAATCTTGTATAATAGTGTATATGGGTGTATAAACATGTCTTATACACTATTATACACTTTTATACATTTTTTATACAAGTGTCTATAGATGAACTTCTTCCATAATTTTCAGTTGCAATTCTTGTTCAAAACCAGTCCAAATCTCCATTAAATGACTTTAAATTTTATATACAACCTCCTTATACTATTTCTAACAATTCTAAATAATACCCACTCTAAATTTCTCACAAAATCAAATTCGAAATCTAAACCCACATATTTAAGCTTGTTAAAAATTTAATTTTCACTATTCAAATGGATTTGGTTTGTTAAACTAATATTTGAGTTATAGTTGCTGATTCGAAAATTAACTTAAAATCTTGTGCAATCTTTTTTAGAAATTAAATAGTAATTTCGAGAATATATTGGAGTTGGATGTTGAATCTTAGCCTATTATTTTTGGGCTAGTTGGTTGTAAATTGAAATATGGACTATAAAACTGAAAAGTAGGGATCCAAGTTGTTCATATGTGAAATTTTAACTAAAACTTTATTAGTTTTGGCCAAATAAAAATATTTAGCCTAAATAATATAGTTATATCCAAATTTTATTATAAATTTTATTCGAAAAGAATTATCTAAAAAAATAATATTCTTAAAAAGGTAAAAAAATATTTTATTTTTCAAAAAAATGCCACATAGACAAAAAAATCCACTTGACAGGCGAGTGTACCCACACTTTTTGCCACATCAGCGTCTAGAGGAGTAATGACTCTCAAAAGGCCAAGTTGAGGAGGGTAATTAAGACCAAACATAGTTCGGGGAGGATACTAATAATCTGAGCCAAATTTAGGGGTGGTTTAAGGTATTTTGCCTTT